CCGTGCACAGAATTTTCCAGTGAAATCTGGAGCACTAAGAAATATTGGATATTTTAAATATACAGGGTGATTCATTAATAATTGTACATACGCTAACTGGATAATCCTGGGCAGAAAATATTAAAAAATTGGCGCATAACGCTTACATAAAATATGACTCGTTACAGAGTTACACGGTGTTTTAATTAAAAAATTTTAAATGATTTTTGCTCATTACTTTAACCCTGTTTGATATTTCCCTATCATACTTGGCATAAAGTTTAGATACTTTAGAACATATTAAAAATGCTACAAAATCGTTCATGGCTACTACCAGAGGGGTGCAACAGGGGAGATGGGATAGTTTCCCATTCCTAACTTCTACGCCACTGGCGGAATCTTTATTTTGGTATAATTTTCCTATTCTTCAATACTTTCTATGCAATTAACTTACAAATCTTTCATAGTGGTAAAGTCATTATTTCACGAGATTTTTAATGTTAAACATAGGACTGCACCACAATCATTTTTATTTTATTATGTAACTTATTTGTCATATTATTATTATTATTCAAGTCGGTATCTTCTGAACTGGGATTGCATTGCATTAGTTGAATTAGGTTTTACGGTTTAGTTTATTATCATTTAAATAATTTAAAATTTTTAAATAAAACATCCTGTAACTACGTAAGAAGACATATTTTATTTAAGTGCTATGTGTCAAATCTTCATATTCTTTGCCCAGGATTATCAAGCTGGCGTATGTAAATTATTAACGAATCACCCTGTATATAATTCTTTACTCAATAATTAATAACTTAGAAATTATTTCTCACAACTTAAACACTACTGTTATTATTATATTCTACGAAAACATCTAAGACACCGTAGTGTGTCTACTCATATATCACATCTAACAATTCAATAAAATTATACGAATATCAATTGTCTGAGTTTTATTTTGTCGTTATCCTCTTCTTAGACAAGGCGAAAACCTCGCATTCGTGGGAGAAATTTTCCGACTCGATTTTTTTTGCATATTCAGATTCGTGAGATGTTCCTTAAAGTGAATCAAGATGATGCTGGCCGGAAATCTGGTGCCCATTTGTTTAAACAAACTTTTTTTAAACAAATTGTAAAAGTTGTTTTTTTCACTCCGGATTTTTTTTTAGGATTTTTGGCACATTATAAACAAATAAGTTCCTATGCACTATGCTTCTAAAATTGATAGTTTTAAAGTTATAAACAATTTAATTTGCTAAAAATGCGAAAATGTCGATTTTCAACGGCCGATTTCCGGGTTAAAACTTGTTATTTTTTATGTTGTCAGGTACCTAAATTAAAGTATAGATGCTGAAGAGTTTTTGGGACTCGCATTATTCTAAAGCCTTGTTTTTAATGGTTAATAAAGCGCTATGACCCGCGCGCGCGCCTCTCTCATACGCGGATTCGCTTTTTCTTTTAGCGGCTTCAGCTTATGTTCTTTGAATTTAGCATTCTAAGTACTATTACTACTCATAAAACAATGTAATAATTGATTATTTAAATTTCATAATTCATAATAATTTTATTCAATTAATTCAAAATTGTAAATAGAGTGCAGGAAAAAAAAGAAAAGGCCAATAGTATCGAATACATTTGATTTTTATTAAAGAACATTTATTTAATACTGCATATTATTATTATCACACATTTATTCAATCATAAGAATTCTCACACTGTTCTATGTTATAACCACATAAAGGTACACGCACAAGAAGCTTTAGTCTTACAGTTTTTTGTACATTTACATTATTTAACTAAGTCTTTGGATAATGGATATTTAGTAATAAATTTAGGTTAATAATTCACCTGTTTCATTTTGATAACCAAAAGCTGTGAAATCTAAATATTGATAATGAGGAACAATGGAACTTTTCCATATGTACGTTTGTAAAGAAGCTCATAGCGCATTATTCACAATTAAAAAACAAGGCTTTAAAATAATGAGAGTCCCAAAAACTCTTCAGCATCTTGTAGGGGGATGTTTAAACTTTACTTTAGGAACCTGGCAACATAAATAAAAAAACAATTTTTAACCCGGAAATCGGCCGTTGAAATTCGTCATTTTCGTATTTTTAGCAAATTAAATTGTTTATAACTTTGAAACTATCAATTTTAGAGGCATAGTGTATAGGAACTTTTTTGTTTATAATATGCCAAAAAAACCTAATGAAATTTTTTCCGGAATGAAAAACCTATTTTTACAATTTGTTTAAAAAAATTTTGTTTAAACAAATGGCACCAGATTTCCGGCCGGCATCATCTTGATTCATGTCAAGGAACATCTCACGAATCTGAATATGCAAAAAAATTGAGTCGGAAAATTTCTCCCACGAATGCGAGGTTTTCGCCTTGGCTATCTGCGTCCGTACGATATTTGTTGAGAATTAACTGCATTCGACACCAGAGGTAGAAAGCATTGGCGGCGTCACGTCCACCTTGCAGTGCATACTGTGTTTTACAGGTACGAAATGTATCATCCTGTGCATTTTTGTGTAAAACGTACCTTCCTGTACACCATTAATAAAAAACTTGGATTCAGGTGAAAGAAAATTAAGATCAATCGGCGAGCAGTAATAGATTCAACATTTGGGAGACAATTACAAGAACAGTTTGCCATCAGCCATATTAGTCCAGAAGAATTACATATTGGCATGGCTCTTGCTTGACGTAGTTAAGATATTAGTAAAAATCAGTCGAAAATATTATATACACTGAAAATATAAGTTTTCGCCAAGAAAAAAAGTTGTGCTATTTGTAGGAAAAATTAAAAATTGCAAAAATACTCAAATATTACAAGTTTTTTCTCACATTTTCCAATATAACTATTTAAATATGCACTTTACAGAAAAAACTATTACCGGTGAAACTGTTTGTTATGAAATTTCCTATAAGATAGAATTGTTTTGATACTCGTGCATATCTTATTTTTGTTGCTAGATAGCCAAAACGGCGTAAGAAAGTGATGAGGTAATTTTGAAGCGTTCAACTGACAGGTAAGAAATTGTCCAATTCTACTATAAATGTAGAGGTAAGTACTTGACAAAATCTAGTCACTTTTATTTCTGAATTAGAGTATATTACCATTGATAAAAGTTTTTAGCTTGTTTTAGCTATAATTTAAAATTTTTCCTGAGTGCGGCTCTGAACGCTTTCAAAATATCTATTGGATGAAGTCATAACAGTATAAAAGTCAATACCGCACAAAATATCCAACAATTTTTTACTACTGTTAGCAATACTAATTAGAAATAATAAAATATTTCATAAATTCATATTACTTTTTAAATTATGGATTAAAAAAAATTGTTGAATATTTTGTGCTGTATTGACTTTTATTCTCCCCCCCTATCTCTCTCTCTCTCTCTCTCTCTCCCCCCTTCCAATAGATACAGGTATTTTGAAAGCGATCAGAACCGTACTCAGGAAAAATTTTTAATAATAGCTAAAAATTTTTTAAGCGATTACAATAGTAATATCATCTAATACAGAGTTAAAAATGTCATAAAGATTTTGTCATAAAAATAACAGCGATATATTTAAAAAAATATATCTGATGATGGCCCCTCGAAAACGTAACGTCGGATAGCAAAAATTTTGACACCATTGGATAGAGCGAAAAAAGTGGCAATTTATTTAAAATTCGTTTTCAAATAAAGCCAGAAAAAAGATTAAACGATTTTGCAAAATTTTGGGTTTTCGGATTTCTCATCAACAGTAGACTTTGCAGTTAATACTTTGTATTGCTGAAATCTCAAATTATCCAGAGATAATTTATCATTTGTGCATTTGTAATTCGACTTAGATATTGTACAAAAAAAAAATTTTGGGTCAAACAATGAGACACAGTTTTTTATTTTTTTCCGTAAAATTGAATGGTGTAATCAGTTTTTGAATTTTTTTTAAATTTAAACAAATTATCAACAATTACTGAAAAATTCATTGCTGCAAGTCATTTTTTACTTTTTTGCATTTTTGAGCATGTTTTTGAACTGTGATTACAAATTTTTTTATTTCACCAAAAAGTATATGTCAAAACGAAAAAAATGATTACCGGCAGAACTCTGTACGATGATTTTTTTAAGTAGAATTTTTCTTTGAAAAAAAAGTGTTTCAGGCCGAAAAAAATGAATATCTCAGAAACTTCTTGATTTTTTTATCTAAAAAAATTTGAGGTTATTTAAGACACAGAAAGGTATACTTTCACCAAGTTTCGTCAAAATTAAATTATTTTTGTGGAAATGAGAAATAAAAAATGAAAATTAAGAAAGAACCTGTTTTTCGCATTTTTCTCGGAAATTTTGAAGTTATGTTGAAAAGTGACCTCTACAAAAGTTGTAGATTTTTGCATGATCTATAACTTTTTGTATTATTATTTCGCCAGAAATCCCAATGATACAATTTTACCTCCCAAATCAACCCTCCGCCACCCCTGCTCACATTTTTTTAGGTTTATTATAAGCCCTTTTACCATTTCCACTTATAAAAGTCCAGGTTACAATTTTTTTTTTCTCCAAATGTAATTTGGTTGGACTAATTTGGAAAGTAACAACTTCAACATACTGTATCTCGAAAACAGAGCGTCTAAGAAAAAAACATTACATGAACTACACCCATTATTTTATATTTTACATGAGGAACTTGCACACAAGTCTTTTGAAGGATGGACGCGACACCCTGTACATACTTCAGTATTTCAATTATTCCACTTGGATCAATATTTAATGTTGCAGTTACAGTTTATATAAATCTTTGAATAGATGGGCGTTGATTTTAAATGGCCGTCGTACTTTAAATACGCAATCGTTGTAACGTACAGACCATTTGGTGAACGCCATTAGCTTCATTCTGACAACAGCCGGCGCTGCAAAATGGAGAATAATTTCTGTTTGAAAACTTTTCTTTTTCTCGGAATAGATCCTAACCGCCCTATAAGAAAATGGCGTGTGACTTTGAACATCTTATTAGCAGCATGGGTTATGTCCCTATCTATTTTCCAGTGTTATCTCGATAGAAATCTACAAAATATAGAACCAATAAATGCACTTATTATAGTAAGTTCATTTTCTATATATTTATAAATATTATAACACTAATAACTATGTTTTTTTTTACAGATGTTTGTTAAATATTTGGCGCTTGCTTTAGGTACAAAAACGGTCAAACAAATTCTGGAATACAAGCAACAATTTTGGGAAGTCGATATTGTAGATGACGAAATAACGTATTTAATACAATATTTGAAAGCAGTAGAAAAGTTTTATAAAATTTTCGCAATTCCCGCTGCATCAGCGTATATAGTGCCCCCCTTACTTTCGATAAACTCTTCTGTGTTTAACTGCTTTATACCTCATTATATACCGTTTCCATTATTTTATATTGCCGAAGTTTACGTAATTATTACAGTTGGCGCGTTTCTTTTTATTTCTTTCAATATATTTGTATGCCCTCTCATAGTTTTGGCTGTTATTCAATTTAAACTAGTAAATTTTAAGATTAGGGATCTCAATCTTATGGATATTGAAAATGATCAGGATGTGGAAGTGTACGTTCGGAACATGAAGAAGATAATTAAGCATCAACAGTTACTTATGAGGTTAGTCTGATTCATTTTAAATTAACTAGCTTGCTTTTAACCGCTGTTTGAAATAGGTTGCATGAAATTTTTTATCTACGATCGTGTCCAAAATGGCAATGTTTCATATAATTTCTAGTGTAAAAATTAATTTTTGTAAGGGCCTGTGCAAAAAGGGTGTATTACATAATGGCGAGTTTTGCATTCAATCGAGTGCGGTAACAACCCAGTACCACAATACTTTATCTACAACCGCGCATTTTTTTAAATATTTGTTTGATATTTAATAATGATCCTTTAAAACCGTTACACCACTGTAACCCTTAAAGATTGTCTGAAAGGACCCCGCAAAAACCTTATGGGTTTGAGTTCCCGATCGATTAGTCTGAATTTTTGATATGTTGTACTTGACACCCTCCTGATCAAAAGTGTTCATAGGCCCAATGTCCGGAAATTAACAGATATCAAGGACGCAAAGTCTCAAAAAATGGAATATTTCTTTGAACCTGAAAATGGAAACGAGCATTTGAAAATTATTATCCATTCTTGTATTATTTATCAGGTTTGGATCAAGTTGAGTATTCATGATATGTATCTGGAATGAAAATCAGTACAACTCCACCCCTGAGACACCCCCAAAATATGGGTTGAAAAACTAAAATATTTATATCTCAATTGCTTAAGAAAGTAGACACGTCTCAGTGAAATTTATATTTCTTTTTATCACTAAATTATTCTTAAATAAAATTTTGGTTAATATAAATATTTAGATATTACTTTTGAAATTAAAATTCTTCAAAACAAAATAAACTTGAAAGTAATATTTTTCTATAGAATGTAAAACAAAAAAGAATTTCTATTATCTCTAGGGGTGGTTCTTTAGAAAAAACTTTCAATTAATTAAATCCAGTGTTTCAAAAAATTTTATATTAAATTAAATTGTTTTTTTTTTAGTTTGACACAATTTAGATAAAATTATATTTTTCCTACGCAACCTACGCCAATACTATTTACTAATTAACTTATTTCTAATTACAATTATCTATCAAATCTCTTACAATTATTTTCCAATTTTTGACACAGTTT